GAACCTCCAAAACCCCAAAACCCCAAAACCCCAAAACCCCAAAACCCCATCTTGCTAAAATAGAGGTAATCAGGTAAATAATATTTCCAGTATCATATAGCAGACATTGATTATTATATATTACTCAAACATTTCATTTTTTTGTATTGTGGATGTTGGAGGTTCTTAGTCAAGACTGTCGATGAAACACCAGCCTTGGTGGATATCTCCCATTATGTTGCTTTTATTCGAGTATTAGATGCTCATTAAGGAGATCATTTCTTAGTGAATAATAAGCGGAACTTTCATTATTTGTTTTTCTGTGAAGTAACTTTTATCAACCTGAACGACTCAGTCTCGACCGAACATAGTTAATAATAGTTTAATAAATTGTGAAATAAATAATTAATTATAATTTTTTGATAAATTTGATTTAAATAGCTCAACCAACAAATCAAAATGTCTAAAGATTACACTGATGGAAAAGCAAACCTAATGGAAATCATCAAGCAAAAGGAAAGAGAAAAGGTAATAAATACTTATTTTCTAATGAAATAGATGGAATTTGAGAAGAAAAAGAATGAGATAGAATAGTCTTATGGAAAATCAATTAAGAATCTTAGCAATAAGTTTGGAATAGGCGGCATTGATTTTATTGAAGAACATCTTTAGAGTACAAATATAAAAGCTGGAGGTGGTTTGATTAGTAATTAGGAATTGAAACAAAAAAAGTAGTAGATAGAGTTAGTTATTGTAGATGAGCAAGCCAAAAAAATAGAAGAAGAAAAATAGAATGAGTTAAACCGCAGATAAATGAAGATGGAGCAGAAGAAGTTAAGATCAAAAGATGCTATTCAATAATAGAGTAAGTTAAGTTTCATTGATGAAGAGGAACGTGAGGAAAGCCAGGACGATTTAAATCTCTAATCAAAGCTAAAGAGGAGATGCTTTGGCAAGAATCCTGATGTAAATACCTAGTTTTTGAATGTACAAATTTATCTTCGTAAATCAATAATTAGGATAGATCAAGAGTAGAAGAGGACACTTTCCTTAAGAAAAAGTTGATAGAAGACTACTATGACTAATAAAAGACTTAAAAAGATAGTAAAGTTGAAATAACCTATCAATATTGGGATGGCTCTCACTAGCCAGCCAAAATGATCATTAAGAAGGGTAACTCAATAGCTGAAATTATTAGCTAGGCTTTGCTTAAGCTTGGAGGACTTTACAAAAATCTAGATGGAGCTCCTGTGGAAGGTTTTATGCTTATCAAGGGTGACTATATTATTCCTGCAGTAAGTTTTTTAAGTTTCATAATATAGGCTGTGACATTCCTTGATTTGGAATAGGCGAAGCAGACTCATATTAGAGATGAAATTTTTAGGTTGAAAGCTAATAGAGTTGTAAAGACTGAAGCACTATCAAAGAAGGTTCCTTAGGATGATGATTTTGAGTAGATCGAGTAAGACATTGGAGGCAAGTGTAAAATAATTGAGAAAATTGTATATGATAAATCAAAACATATATTCCCATATAGGAATTGGGTTACTGTAAGAATACTTAGATCTTAAAAATATTAGTTCGACCCAACATCAAGTTATACTAGAAGTAGTCTGTTTTGAAAAGTACAAATAGGAAAGCAAATTTTAATTAAATAATATTAATCATCTGATGATATGATTTAATTCATGGGGTTTTGGGGTTTTGGGGTTTTGGGGTTTTGGGG